GTCTTCCCAACGTTTGAACCAAGCGTCGAAGGTAACGCCGGAGTCGGGGTCACAGATGAACTCTGTGATAGCAGCAGCAGTGGCGTCCGCTGATGTGGACTGGTTAGCGAAAGAATCTGGACCAGAAAATTGCAAACTGAATTTTTGCATCATGGACTCCATCATCTTCATATGAGCCTCCTCAAACAGAGCTTGTTGCTGCTTCAAGATGGACTGCAGTTGTTCTGCGAAGATGGACATAGTGAGTCCGGGTCTGCGTCGCCAAATGTTATAACGGTGGGCAAAAGCTGCGTCATATTCCTGCGCCGGCCGTAGATAGGCTCGGGTGTCAGACAATGCACTTTGTCTGTGTGGGTGAGAGCGGAACGGACGGGTGGTTGTCTGGCAGCTCTTCGTCAGGGCTGTTTGCGCACGCCATTGAGTCGGCCCCTGACACTGATCCGAACCCTACGTCAGTAGACGAGACAATAGATGGCCAGAGGAGCGTAGACATGTGGACAGCTAAGGTCAATGAGTGCACAGGAGAAGACACTCAACAGCCGAAAGTCAGTCCCCGACAATAGGTATGCAGATAAAGAATATTGCATGAGCTCCAATAAAGCGCAAATGGGGCACAGGCGGGGTCTAGAAAGTGGGTTCTAAGCAGTTCACTCAAGCGACACCTATCCGTACCCATTCACCCAAAAAGTCCTGTCACTCCCGTGAGCACGTGTGCACCGACTATTAGTCAGCTGGTATGACAATGCTTAGAGCGACTCAATGATGGCAATGAAACAGCAAACCGGCTGGGGGGAGGGGGGTTAATAGACCTACTCTGATGGACACCACGGACATGCTGCGTCAGTTCCTGCTTCGTTACAAATGCCTTCTTGCAAATTCCACAGCCATGCTCTCGCAGATCTGAAAAACAAGAGCAAAACATTGAGTCACTTTGGTGGATAAGATGCGTTCGCCATAAGGATGAGAAGACATTAGCCCAAAAACGTCACCAATGAGTTGAGAAAACTCAGAAGAGAGATGAACTGACAAAGGTGGAAAGCAAACGATGCCACCATCGTGATATCACATGACTGCCCTGGACATATTTTCTCTGCGAGTGGAATCCTCATGGCCATCGAGAAAACGAAAGCCTCAAAAGCCTTAGGACCAGATGGTATGGCGGATATCTATTTGCACCATATCGGACCTAGGGTGGCTGTCTACCTTGCTGCCCTTTTCAACCTTTCGCTGCCAGTCAAGTGTTACTCCTCTAGTCAAAGCGGGTAAAGACCCCAGTCTAGCGACCTCGTTATTGCCAAATTGTCCTCTCAGTCCCCTGGTGAAGAGCCTGGAAGGGCTCCTACATCCAATTCTGACGTCTGCGGCGGATATATCTTGCCATCAACATGTTGGCAGAACAGGTCGTGGCACCTCAACGGCGGTCTTCGAGCTCGGCGACACCATCCTCCAGGGCGTCAATCACGTACCATGGCAGGCTCGATC